CGATCATCCCCCGCGGCTCCCAGGATTACCCCATCTTGCACCCCCTGGACTTCTGCCAGACCTCCCTTTCCCTGAACCAGAAATTACTCCTGTTCCTCCTGGGCCCCATGGGCCCCCCGCTGCCTTGCCAGGACTTCGTTCGGTTCCTGCATTCAGCTATCGAGGGCCTCGTGCAGGTGAAGGGTGTGTTCAAGCGTATTCACTGGCTCCGTAGTGGCATCATCCAGGGCTGCGGGCTCGGCCCCCCGCGCGGCCGCTCTGGCGCGCGCTCGACGTGCCGCGGACTGGCGCTGCTTACCCGAGTTTCTGGCAGGCCCCTGCGTTCGTCGAGGTAATGGCTGACGCGGTCGCTGGCGTCGCGGCCCCCCGTTGCGCCGAGGCTCTTCCCCCGCCGGCGGCGGCCGCTGCCCGCTCGGAGATCGTCGATGCTGCTCTTCGGCGCCCTGACCCCCAGCGTGCTGCTCATCGTGCGCCGCGCGAGCTTGCTCTTCGCGATGAACCTCCGGAGCGGCTTCTCGCTCTTCGGCTGGGCAAGCTTCTTGGCCAGCGGCGCTCTGCCATCAGCTCCATTGACTGGGGCCAGGTCCGTGAGCTGCTTGCCAGATGCCCCTGTTCGTGGTCTTGGGCAGCGATCAGGACGTGGGCGGACGGATGGTTGACTTCGTCGCGGATCATCCACCCGCTGCGCGTGCGGTGCTGCGCCATTGGGCGCGCGCGCTCCCCTGATACCTTGCGGCGCTACGCACGCTGCCGACCTCTTCATCGGGCGCTGCGTCTGGCGCTGGCCCGTGTCTCCCCGCCCCCGCTGCTTGAGCGGTGGGATTTGGCGCCGCCGTCTCTCGCGGCGGTCTCGGCGATGGCTGCTGTCTACGGCGCCTACAACGCGGCGAAGACCGCCCCATCGTGGCCGCCGACGCCCGAGCAGACGTTCAGCTGCGCGCTGGCTGGCGCGCGCGCCATGCGCACGGCAGCCCCGCTTCGGGCCTCTCCTGCTGAGTGCCAGTCTATCAGTCTATCAGTCTTGCGACGGCGCGCGACATGATGGTGGGCGACTCCTCCTCTTCGTCGTCTTCTTCGTCTTCGGTGGCTCCGTCTTCGCCTCCGCCTGCGCGGCGGCTCACGCCTCCGACTGCGCCGACCGGTTCGCGCTCTTCTTCGGCGTCGTCTGGCAGAAGGCGCCCTTGGTCGGCGCGTCGCTCGCCGCGCCTCACGCCGATGGTTTCCGACTCGGCGCCCTCGACGCCTTCGACGCCGATTGCGATGCCCCCGAGCTCCCCCTCTGGCGGTGCTCCGCCCTGTCCCCCGGCGGCCGCTCGCCCGACCTCCTCGTCGGGGAGGCCGTCTCCCACGCGGCGGTGGCCTCCTTCTCGGTCTGTTGCGCCGTCTCGTTCGATTTCTCCGCGTGCAAGGATTTCTGCTTCGTCTGCTTCGGTCGCGCGCTCTCCGAGCGCAACCTTGCCGTCTGGGTCAGGAGTTGGGGGCGCCTTCGGATTGCCCCGTAGTGAGCCTGCCGCGCCGCAAAACTGTGCTCCATCGGTCGTCTTTCCTTGCCCTTTTTGCTCTCCCCCTGCTCCTCCGCCTGCTCGCCTCCCTCCGCAGCCAGCGCTACCGCTGCCCAGAATTGAAAGTGCGGCTCCCGCCGCGGCGCCCGCGGCTCCGTCTCGGGAGCTGGTGGCGCCCTCCGTGTCCGAGGGCGAGGCCAGGAACGCCTCCTGCCCGCTCCGTTGGCCAAGGAGCCCAGAGGAGCGTAAGGCGAGGATCGAGGCCCCCCCTGTACGGTCGTTTCCTCCTCCTCGTCCTCCTCCCCCTCCTCCTCCTCCTCCTCCTCCTCCTCCACTTTTTCCTCTTCCTCCTCCTCCTCCTCCTCCTCTTCCTCCTCCTCCTCCTCCTCCTCGTCTTCCCCCATGGCGGCACGGAGTGGCATAGATGATCCAGGCACCCTGGCGCAGGCGTCCCCCACGACAAGAACTTGCGCTCCTTTATTGCAGTAGGCCTGCCTAGATGTGCCTCTCTGTGTGCTTGCAGGTCCCTCGCTACAGGCGCCCTGGGCCAGTGCCCCGTATCGCGTGGGCAACGTTGTTGTCAGTATGCCCATTCCCGCGCGTGCCTGCTCCCCCTGACGCACATCGCGCCAAGCATGTCCGCTCACGGCCAGCAGCCACCGCGTAGCCAGCGCTGATGCCTGGAAGGAAGCCAGAATGCCCACTCCCGCGCGCGCCCGCTCGCTTCCAACGCACATCGCGTTGCCGGCGTACTTCCCTGATCAGGTTTGCTCGGAGGGTTTTCCCTATCTGCTTACTCCGCGGGTCCGTTCTTATGGGTGCCTTGGGCCGGTGTCCCTCCCAAGCCCCTCCCGCGAGCGTCTCGTGCCCTTTCCCAGTGGGTGCCCGCTCGATCATAGTGAGCGTCGCGTGACCAGCACTGTCGCCAGGCGGCTAGCTCCAAGCGTGCCCGCTCGTTTCCTCGCCGAGCAAGGGTCCCGTGACAAACACCACGAATGACCGCCAACAGGTTAGTCGGGATTCTTCTGGGGCCGTTTTGTGGCCGTCCTTCGCCCACTTAGAGGAGAAAAGTACATGGAGCATCAATGAGGAGGAGGAGGAGGAGGAGGAGGAGGAGGAGGAGGAGGAGGACGGCGACGACGACGAAGAGGAGGAGGAGGAGGAGGAGGGCATGGTTACGAGAGAGGGAGAGGCTGGGACAGCGAGCACGGAAAAGGGAGAAGGGCAGTAGAGGAAGGCAGGAGGAAGCCGGAGGGGACCAGAGAAGCGGAGTGGAGGAGGGTCAGGGGAGGGTGGGAGGCGGCCAACCCCTCGGGCGATCCGGCTTGGGCCGGGGGCCCATCGGGCGATCGGGCTCGGGATCGGGGCCGCCGGCCCCGCCGACTCCATCGACCGATCGGGCTCCGTGGGGCGGCCGAGCAGCCCCTCCCAGTCGGCGGGGTATGCCCTGCGCCTCGGGGGCTTCGGGCTCGGGGCTCGGGCCAGGGTCGGGGCTCCATGGTCGGGCTCGTGGAGCCAGCCCTGGGCCGGCGGACGGCGACCTTCTCCCCCTTCTGCTCCTCCTGCTCCTCCTGCTCCTCCTCCTCCTCCTCCTCCTCCTCCTCCTCCTCCTCTGTCTCCTCCTCCTCCTCCTCCTTCTCCTCCTCCTCTTTCTTCAGTCTCCTCCAGCGACCTCCTCCTCTTCCTCCTGCATCATCATCATCATCATCATCATCATCATCATCATCATCATCATCATCATCATCATCATCATCATCATCATCATTCTCATCCTCATCATCCACATCAGCATCAGCATCAGCAGCAGCACCATCATCACCACCAGCACCACCATCATCAGCAGCAGCAGCGGCAGCAGCATGATCGCCATTACCGTGCGAATCCTCATAAGCCTCAGTCTCATCGTCATCACCACCATCATCGTCATCATCATCATCATCACAATCAACAACAACGACAACAACAGCATCAGCAACATCATCATCACCATCAAGATCAACAGCAGCATCCACATCACCATCATCATCACCATCATCCTTACCATCATCGTCATCGGCATCAGCATCAGCATCATCGCCACCATCCTCATTACCATCATCAGCATCATCATCATCGTCATACTCGTCATCACTGTTATCTCCATCATCGTCATCGTCGTCACATCATCGACAACGTGATCATCATCAGCATCCTAATCCCCGTCATCATTTTCCTCATCAGCATTATCATCATCAGCATCATCATCCTTATCTGCATCATCACTCTAATGTTTATCATCAGCAGCATCATCAACACCACCATCACCATCATCGTCATCATCCTCATGATCATCAGCATCATCGCCACCACCACCATCACCACCATCACTACCATCATCATTATTTTCATCACCATCCTCATCTTCCATCTTCCTCCGGCGCCTTCCTCCTCATCATTATGCTTTGTTTTTTCTCTCTCTCTCTCTCTCTCCTCATCCTTCTACTCCTCCTCGGGGAGAGCGGGACCCCTGTACTGGCGCTCGTACAGCCCTGAACACCATCACCACCACGCATACACATGCACACACACACACACACACACACTTTGGCGTCGCAGCGCGGCAGAGGCAGTCCGCGCGCGTCCAAGTAACCGTGGCCACGGTATTGCGAGTTGTCCCGCATGCCAGAGGAGGCGAAAGGAAGCGGACAAGCCGCGGAGATGTGGAGGAGAGAGGTATACCGATAGCAAAGTACGATGACGATGCACAGCGCGCATTCACGCTGCGAGGCCGCAGCGCGGCGCGCGGGGCGGCCGAGCCTGTGCAGCAGTCCCCTGGCAGCGGGAGCGGGGCGGCATCACCAGCGCACCCAGGGATGTGTCCAGCGGCTGCAGTGCGGGGCGATGCCTAGCAAGCGGAAGGGAGGGGGCCAGAGCTGCAGCGACCACGGCATCCCCAGTCGTGGAGTGGGGGCCGGTGCGGCTGCTGGGGAGGCTGCACAAGTAGGCTGCAGTGGCAGACTGGGAGCCGGGTGGCTCGACAGGCGAGCAACGCAACAGTAGCGAAGGCGTGACACATGACACACACACACACATGTCACACACATACACACACACATACATACACACACACACGCACACACCGCGTCATGAACAAAACCTGACGGGCGTTTTTTGTTGGCCTTTGTCGTCTTCATGGGGCAGTCCCTATACCGAACCCGAGGCGCTCAGTATGAAAATTTGGCCCCGTGGAAAGGGATCGAGACCTCTGGGGGCCGAGGTTGCGAAGCAAACAAGACATCGGGTGTGTGTGTGTGTGTGTATCAGGAAGGGCGCCAGAGGCCCTTGGCTGCAGCAGCTGCGACAACTGCCGCAGGTTACGTCATGGGAAGCACCAGAAGCTGAACGTGCGCTCGCACGGTGATGTTGTCCACCCCCCACACCCTGAGACGGCCAAAGCCCACTGTGGGAAGAAGAAGAAGAAGAAGAGCTGGGGGGAGGGAGACAGTCTAAGGACCCCAACGTCGACGACCCTTTCGACCTCTTCATCTCCTCCACCAACATCCGGTGCTAGGGGACGCTCGTAACGCCCGTCAGTCCGCTCCTCCCACCCCCACTCTTCCTCCCGCTCCCGCTACCCCCTCTCCACCTCCCTTCCTTTTGCCCCCCTCGTCCCCCCCGTCCCCTGCCCCCGTGCCTCCATCGCTACACCTCTCTCCCCCTCCACAATTACTCAATATGAATACTACTCTCCCTCTTCCCCTGATTGCGTGCTGGGAGTAGCCGACCCCCCCCCCGCGTCCTGCTTTTTTACACAGGATTCCCGGGAGTTGGGTTTTCGCCTGCATTTTGTTCAAAATGCTGCTCTCGCTGAGGCGCCGGCCTCATTTTCGGGCCCCGCTCGTTCCGAATCGTGCTCTCGCTGCAGCGCTGGCCTCATTTCCGTGCTTCCGCTCGTTCCGAATCGTGCTCCCGCTGCAGCGCTGGCCTCATTTCCGCGCTTTCGTTTCGCTCGTTTCGACTCGTGCTCCCGCTGCAGCGCTGGCGTCATTTCCCGTGCCATGCCACAGCACACGCGCACACACGCACACACACACAGCCCACCACCACCACCACCACCACCGCCACCACCGCCACCACCACCACCACCACAACCACGCACACACGCACGCACGCACGCACGCGCACCACCACCCACTACGCACGCGCGCGCGGAGCCACAGGTCCGCTACGACACGCGTCCGCGGATAGAGAAAATCAGCGCCATGGTAAGGGATGGGAGGGAGGGGTAGGACGTCAGATATGACGCGAGCGCACCTAGCTTGGTCTCACCCCCTCCGTCCCCCCCCCCATCCTGTCCCTCCCCTCTCGGGCCAAGGAAGTGTGGGCTTGACGGGGGTTCTCCAGGTACTGCTTCTACAAGGATACGGAGCAGGCCAGGAGCTCGGCATGCAACCATTTCTAGCGACGCTTCGCGCTGTTCACCACGCCATTCCTGTTCCGTCCTCCGCATCCTCCCCCCCCTTACTCGTCCTCTTCCTCCCCCTCCTCCGCTGCATCGAGCGATGGTGTATGGAGAAGCTCGTTGCCGTTACACATGCTCTTGTGACCACCTACGCACCACGCTTGACAATTCGTTTTGGACTGCATGTGCACCCACATCAAGAAGATAGTTGAACCTATGCGTGGTTACGTAAAGTCATCTTTGCGCACCCCCAGTGTGCCCCTCCTGTGTCGTATTCCTCATGATCGGATCGTCATCTGCATCTCAGCCAATTGCGCAAGCGTTTGTTTTTGCTTTTGGTTAACTGACAGTAGGCACCTGCTCCCCTCACATTCAGATTCTGTCCTTCTTGGTTCCCCGGTTGACATTGCTCGGCTTGCGTGGCTGCCATATTCAGGGTCAGGTCCAGGGGTATGCTTGGAGTTCGATGTCATAGAACCCCACCGTGTCCATACACAGAAATGAAGTTCACGTTGCCCGAGAAGTCTGCCTCGAAGTGCTGGCCCGCGTTCCTGTGCACGGACTGCCCTGCCTCTACGTCCTGCGTTGCAGCAGACCATCGTCACGAATTTCAGGGCTGCTCGTAGAATTCCACGTGTTCTCGATCGTCAAGACTTCTCGCTCCGGCCAGCGTGCAACGCGTGCCGTCACGTGTAGAGATGGCTGCGTTCTGCGCCTCGCTGCAGCCAGTCCGGTCAGAGTCGAGATCGCTCCCCTCCGATCGGCCGCTACATCGAACTGGATCCTCCTCCTCCCCCCTCCCTCCTTCCCTCCCTCCCTCCCTCCCTGGAGTTTCCTGGGAGTCCCGGAAGGCCACGGTGGCACAAAAAGGAGCACCCAATATCTTAAACAATAGATTTCTTGCTCCTCCTACCCCGCCTCAGCCTCCTGACCCCTCCTCTTCCTCCACCTCCTCCTCCTCCTCCTCTTCCGTCCCCCTGCTCCTCCATCCCCTTTTACTCTGCGCTCCTCCATCATCCTCCATCTTCCTCCTGCTCCCTCCTCCTCATCCCTCTCCTCCGTGATTTGTCTTCCCCTCCACCACCACCACCACCACCACCCCGCGTCCTCCCTTCCCTGTTTCCTCGTCGTCCTCGTCCTCCTTCTCATCATCCTGATTCCGCCTCCCTGTCATTCCACCTTCCTCATCTTCTTCTTGTTTTTCCTCCTTGTCCGAACCCTCCTCCTCTCTCCGTCCTCCCTCCTCATCTTTCTCCTTTTCCTCCTGCTCATCCTTGTCCTCCTTCTCATCCTTATCCCTCCTCTTCCTCCCTTGACTCCTTTTCCTCCTCCTGCTCCTTCTCATCATCATTCCTCCGCTCCCTCTCCCTCCTCCTCCAGGGGAGGCGGAGGAGGAGAAGGAGGTGGAGGGGGAGGACGGAGCTGGAGAAGGACAAGGAAGGAGGAAGAAGGAGGAGGAGGAGGAGGGAGCGAGGGGAAGGAGGGACAGGATGTGTATGAGAAGGGGTGATGATGACGATGACGATGATGATGATGCTGCTGATGATGCTTATTGTGCTGATGGTAATGATGATGATCCTGATCATGAGCATGATGCTGATGACCATGATGATGATGATGATGATGATGATGATGATGATGATGATGATGATGATGATGATGATGCTGATGCTGATGCTGATGCTGATGATGATGATACTCGTGATGATATCGTCATGATGATGGGGGTGATGATGACAATGCCGTTGATGATGATAATATTGATGTTGTTGTTGATGATGATGATGATGATGCTAATGTTGATGCTGATGCTGATGCTGCTGATGCTGATGCTGATGATGATGATGACGACGACGACGATGATGACGATGATGATGATGATGATGATGCTGATGATGATGATGATGATGATGATGATGATGATGATGATGCTGCTGATGATGATGATGATGATGATGATGATGATGATGATGATGATGATGATGATGATGATGATGATGATGATGATGATGATGATGATGATGCGGAGGAGAGGAGGAGGAGGAGGAGGAGGAGGAAGAGGAGAGGAGGAGGAGGAGGAGAGAAGGGGAGGAGGAGGAGGAGGAGGAGGAGGAGGAGGAGGAGGAGGAGGAGGAGGAGGAGGAGGAGGAAGAGGAGGAGGAGGAGGAGGAGGGAGTGAAGAGGATGAGGAGAAAGGAGGAGGAGTAGGAGGAGGAGGAGGAGGAGGAGGAGGGGGACGGGGAGGAGGAGGAAGAGGAGGAGGATGAGGAGGAGGAGGAGGAACGGGAGGAGAAGGAGGAGGCCGAGCAGAAATAGTCTAGGGGAGAGGGGAACAGGAAGAGGAAGAGGGAAATGATATGGAGGAGGAGGAGGAGGAGAAGGAGGAGGAGGTTGAGCAGGAGGATAAGGAGAGAGGTTGAGAGAGAGAAGAGGGGAAAGAGGAGGAGGAGGAGAAGGCGGTAGGGTAGGAGTGGAAGTATAAGGAGGAGCAGAGGGAGGGTTGTCTCCTGGCCAAGAACACCAACATAATGTAGAAGTCTGAGGATTTCTGGGCATCGGCTGACCTGGGCGGGAGGGAGCCCCCCCTAGTTGACCACGATGCTGCACAAGCGTCGAGGCGGTGAAGATGCCACGAGGGCTGAGAGCAACCCTAGCTTCGCGTTCGAGCTGTCCACCCCGCAGTGCTCCTCCTTTGGGGTGTCTCCTTTTGGGTGTCAGGCCCTCGGCGTAGAGGCTCGAGCTCTCGATCCGCGTCATCGTGGCCATGTGCTGACTGTGCGTGGGTGTTGCTCGCATGCTTTCGGGACGCTGCCCAGCCGAGGTCCTGGGCAAGACCTTCGGCATGTGCATCCTGTCGGACTTCGAGGCGCTTACTCCGAACCTGTTGTGCCGGACCATTGAGACGGTCTCGCCAGACCATGGGGTTGTGCCGGACCATGCCAGAAGGGAAGGAGGGGCAGTGGAGAACCGGTATCGCGGGGCCGAAAGCGGTACGGAAAGCATGGGGACGAAGCCCGATTGCATTGCTTGTCCACTCTCGGCAGGATTCGGTGTCGGTGTCGCCTGCCCAACACCGGATGCTGAACATTTGTGGTTGGGCATCGTCCCCATTCTATCCGTGCCCCTTCCGAGCGTGCCAACATGAGGGTCGATTTCTTTACTGACGCTTCGTGGGGGCCAAGCTGCAGCGTCCTCAGCTAGCAACTGACTCTCTGACGCTGTCCGAGGCGTTGCCGATACCGATTCGGCCCCACAGGACCCTGCCCCAGAGTGAGGGAACGAGGGAGGGAAAGTCTGTGACGAGGGGCACGGGGATTGAAACAACAAATGGCACGCGTGCCGCGTGCCTTGGCTCTTGGAGGAGGGAGCGGCGAGAGACAGGAGTCGGGAGGAGAGGGAGCAGGAGGTGCGAGTTCTTTGGGACCATCCTGTGGCCTCGTCTTTGCTGTTGGGGCAGTCTCGTAGCCCACTGGGGGGATATTGAAACCGATTTGGAGGGCCTGTGGGCCTGTGGGCCGTCTGGGGGTGTATTGGGCTCATTCAGGGGTGCTCTTGAGCCGTCTTGGAGTGGTACGTGGGCCTTGGCTCCCGAGGCGAGGCGAGGGGCGAGGAGGCTGGGGGGAGGAGGAGGAGGAGGAGGAGGAGAGGAGGAGGAGGAGGAGGAGGAGGAGGAGGAGGAGGAGGAGGAGGAGGCGGAGACTCTTCGGCATATCACGTTGAGACAAGGGAGGAGGAGGGGGAGACAGGGACGGGAGGTCAGGGGGGCGAGGGATGGTTCGGGAGTTGGCGAACGAGCGAAACGAAAATACAGGGCCACGAGCTTTGGAGCACAGCTGCGCATGAGAACGCATGGGGAAAGTGAAGGAGCGCGGGGTGGACGGGCGGAAGGTCGGGAGGTCCCTTGAGACGTCGTCGGTATCTATGTGGAGTGCGTGTTTCGTGTGACTTGAGATCCCTAGTAAGGGCACATGTACTTGTATGTATGTACAGAGATGCACACGTATGCACGGGCGTAGTAGATGTGTGCCCAGGTGTAGGTGTTCGTGGTGTTGGTGGTGGTGCGCGTGTTGGTACCTGGACATGGTGGTGTCGGTATATGGTTGACTACCTGGATAACGATTATGGCGATCATGCTGCTGTTTGTGACGCGTGCGCTGGTGGTACTTGCGAGAGTAGTCAATCGGTTATGGATTTGTGACCCCTTGATCGCCTCAGGCAAGATAAAGTTGTATTTGACAGCTTGCTTTATATGCATCCTGGAAGAAGCCATCCCTGTCAAAGGCGTCTTCATGCGCAGCACCTGTACGACTGGATTCTACAGAGTCGCAGAAGCGTCCGGCGAACGTGCAGGCGACATTCGAGCTGGTCCTAAATAAGAGGTACTTACTCCATCCCCGTATATCGACTACAGTGGGGGCGCGCATCAAGAAACCATCTGCTTTTCGTCAGGGTACCCTATGTTTCTTCGATCCGCGCTCTGCGCGGCGACTTCCCGCAGCCGTGGAAGAAGCTGGTGCGTTGAGGTGCTCCGGGTTTCCCCTCAGGTGCACCTCGCGCGTGGATTTTCAGGGTTGGGTTTCTTGCGATGGTTTCTTGCGGCTGCGCCCGCACTGTAGCCTTCGGCCCGTCCCGCCGCCGTGCCCAGGCTGTGGGCATGAGGCCTATTGGATGTTCGTTGGGATCTCGTGGGAGGCCTCTCAGGGGCCTCGTGGAGGCAGTCAGGAGGCCGCTTGGGGGCCTCTCGGGCCCAGGACCCGAGGACGCGCCCACTCCGTGCCCGTCGGCACAGTGGCGGATATCTGAAGGGATGCGCCTTCTGCCGCCGGACGACGAGGCTGAGCCAATGGCGGCTATATTGAACACCTCGGGGGCCAGCGTGGGGGCTTCTCGTGGCCTCCTTGGAAGCGTCTGGGGGGCCCTGGGCGTCCCTGACGGGGCATCGTAGGATGGCTTCGGGCATGCTTGGATCGTATGGCACCTTCGGAGGCTGTCTTGGGGATCTCTCTGGGCCTTGTTGGGGCCCTCTAGGGCCGTCTTGGGGGTGTCTTGGGCCACCTCGAGGCCCTCGTGGGCCGTCTAGGGCGCATTTGGGCTCCTCTTGGGGCCCTCTTGGGCAGTCTTGGGGCAATCTTGGGGGCCTCTGGGGCCGTCTTGCGACATGGAGTGGTGATGAGCCGTGTTCAAGGATGGCGGCGACGACGCACGCGGTACATCTTGGGACGAGGGTCGTGGAAATTTGGTTGAGAATGGGGCAGCACAAGAGTGCGGTTGAACATGGCAGATGGGGCGGCATGAAAATTGAGAAGCCGAGGGCGCTTCCAATAGGCTGGGTGATCGCCCGATGTCAGGTCGAAGGTGGTGGCATGATCGTTCTGCTTCTGAAGACGATGTCGTCCCTGAAGCAGTTGTACGAACTGGCCATGGATGCTCACCATTCGTTCCGCGGGGCACCTAGCGACAACCGCGGAGTGATAGCTGAGGGGGGATGAAGGGGAGCAGGAGGAGGAGGGGGACGAGGGAATAAGATGAATGGAGGGGAGTAGGCGGAGAAGAGAGGAAGAGGAGGAGGAGGTTGAGGAGGAGGAGGAGCAGCAGGAGCAGGAGCAGGAGCAGGAGCAGGAGGCGGAGGAGCAGGAGGAGGTGGAGGAAGCGGAGAGGGAGACGGAGAGAGGAGGGAGGAGGCAAGGTTCATGGAGAACGAAGGGAGGAGGGAGGAATGATATTGCGGTTGTGCGCAACTCGCGTCGGCTGTGTTGTCTCATTGTATCGGCAGTGCCCGGAGCTTTTGCCGGCGATCGTTCACCACAATACCAAGCATGTTTTTGACGCGGTATGGTCGTCAGGTTGAGGGAAAGGAGGAGGAGGAGGAGGAGGAGGCCTAATGCCTTTTGCCCCTCCTAAGTTAGGTTCCCTCCCAAAGGGTTAGGGGGTCCTTGTATTGCTGGTCACCCGCCTCTCCACGAGGGGTCGTGCAGGGGGGGCGGGGTCGGCCCCCAAGGCACGGAGACCCACGTTGACTCCGAGCCCAGATTCAACGAGCGCTTGGTGCTGTCGCTGCGGGAGAGGGGGCAGGGGAATCCTCTCTTGGGTTGTTTGCCCTCGCCGCTGAGCTTCAGAGGGAGCTGACAGAGACTCGCCCGCCAAAGACTTGTAGGCAAGCAGAGACCAGCGAGCCCTTCCTGGTTGGTGCGGACTTTAAGGATCAATGGTGTGGGCGTTGAGGCTACAGGCCCCCGCCTCGAAGCTTCAGAGGTGGCAGAGGGCTCTGAGGTTCAGCGGTGGGAAGTTCTATGCGAGTGTTACCAGCCTCCCCTTTCTTTCTCCTTCAGCTGCGCGAGAGGTTGAACGGGGCAGTCCCCCTGTAATTCTAGACGCTTCGCGTCACCCCACTAGCCAATCCAGAAACGATGTCCAGGAGAGTTGCTCTGACCAGGGATGTTGAGGAGCATGCAGTGGAATTGAAGGGCTGGGGAAGCCGCCATACCCCAAGAGAGAGAGAGAGAGAGAGAGAGGATGGCGGAGGAATCAGAGGAGAAGGGGGAGGGGAAGGGGGATAAGAGAGGAGGGAGGAGAGAGGAGAAGGAACAGGTGGATGAGGAAGGGGAGGAGGAGGAGGAGGAGGAGGAGGAGGAGGAGGAGGTGGAGGAGGGTGAGCCGAATCGCCAGAGGCCTCTTGGATACCTGTCGGAGTCTCTTCGGATGTCTCTGAAGAGCTTCTTGGAGTCCTCTTGGCGCGTCTGAGGGGCCTCTTGGGGGTCCCGGGGGCTTCTTGAAGCGTATTGGGTGCCTCGGGGGAGCCTCTTGGGGGCCTCTTGGGGGTCTCTTTGGAGCTTCTTGGGGACCTTTTGGGGGCCTCTTGGGGCCTCCCGGGCGCCTCTTGGGGCCCTCTTGGGGCATTCTCGGGAGCTTTGGGGGCCATTTGAGTACCATCTGCGAGGAGACTGATCGAAGAAGGGTGGGTACGTACTCAAGTGGCTTCGCCCCCGAAGGAAAGGGCCCAACACCTAAGTCAAATCAATGACTTTTGCCTTCTAGCCGATGCCTTCTTGGACGCTCCAACGACCCGCGGAGGGTCCCGTCCAGGTCCAGGGAGAGGGGAAAGGGGGAGGGGTCAACCTACCCACAAGCAACAAGCCGTCTCGCTCATTCTCACCTGCCCTCCCAACACATAAGTAGCACCCGAGTTTCAGCATGGACAGGGGCGGCCATCGACAACCATCGGGAACCAATGCAGACGCCAGCCAGGTGCGCGAAGCCCGCGAGTAGCGCCGCAAAGGCAAGCTGCGCCACGCGCACCAGGTGCGCCACATTGTGCAGTATGTCGAACCTCCCGCCATCCCTGTCAAGACCTAGTGACGGCGGGTTTGTTGTGTGCGGGTGTGCGCCGCCCACGTTCGCTTTGCATCTGCCTTTGTTCAAGAGATGGTGGGCGTGCGCACAGCAGACAGTATGCCCACACACACACACACCACACAACGTCCCTGGCAAACTGAGTTTGTTGCTGTTTCGTTTGGAGTGGATGGTGGGCCTGCGCACAGTAGGCAGTATGCCGGCACCCACGCCACACCTGTCACACATTATTGCAATGTGAGCGCGAGGCGTTCGCGTATGATCCAGGTGTGTGTGTGTGCGCAAAATGCATTTTGTAATTTTTGCCCCACATGATTCGTCTGGTATTGTTTTTCCCACCCACGTCTCAACCGCGTTCCTCCCCTCCTTATATTCCTCCTCCTCTTCCCTCCCCGTCTCCCTCGCACACACACACACACACATCAGACGAACACTCACACACACACACACACATACAGCCGCACGCCTGGCGTGTTGATTGCAGAGTGCACTCCAGACGCATACACCACTTACATAGGCACCAAACACACACGCACACTAGCCGCCCCCCCCCCCACATACACACACAGACACACACCATACAACGCTAGCGTACACCAGGCGTGTGTATGACATATTACGCACCAGACGCATGTAACGCATAGGCGGCACTCACATAAAATACACAGCCGCACACACAGCCGCCCACAGCCGCGCCATGCGGGCCATGGCTCAAAGGCTAGCAGGCGTGGAATTTGCTCGAAGCCACAGGGGGGCGTGCAGTGGGTGGGGGCGCTATGCGGGCCATGGATCGCAGGCTAGCAGGCGTGGCATTTGCTCGACACCACAGGCGGTGTGCAGCGGGTGGGGGCGCTATGTGGGTCATGGCTCACAGGCTAGCAGGCGTGGCATTTTTTCTCGATACCACATGGGTTCGTTGGGGGTGGGATCGCAATCCGTCGCACGCTCGCGAAGCGTGGCAGGCGTGGCACTCTCGACACCACTAGGGGGTGCGAAGGGGGGGCGCTATCCGTCGCACACTCGCAACGCGTGGCAGGCGTGGCGCTCTCTCGACACCACAAGGGGGTGCGGAGGGGTGGGGGCGTTATCCGCCGCACGCTCGCAAAGCGTGGCAGGCGTGGCACTGTCTCGATACCGCTGGGGGTGCGCAGGAGGTGGGGGCGCTATCCGTCGCACGCTTGCAAAGCGTGGACTGGAGGTGGGCTGGAGGTGGGCTGGAGGTGGGGACGCTATTTGTCGCACGCTCGCAAAGCGTGGCAGGCGTGGCACCTTCTCGACACCACAAAAAGGTGCGGCGGGGGTGCGTGGCAGGCGTGGCACGTTCTCGACCCCCCAGGCCTCCTCGACGCCGTCGTGCGCGGCCTCCGCGGCCGCCTCTGGCGATGGCCCCGCGGTGCCCGCGCAGGTGCGGGGGCGCGTGCCTGGCCGCATCGCCCCTCTTCACGATGCCCTGCAGCGTCGCCCGCAGCGCATCGCATGGCGGCCGCCGCCTGGAGGGAAAGGGCGCCCTGGGAACAAGCTCGACCGCTCGACCCTCGCAGCATGTGGCTTGGACCGGAAGGGCTACGGACTGATGATGGAAAGGAGGAGGAGGAGGAGGAGGAGGAGGAGGAGGAGGAGGAGGAGGAGTGGCAAGTTTTAGTGCCGCCTTGGATCCTGACCCCTGGACGTCTCCAGAGGTTCCCAGGGGCCTTCGGACGCTTTTCAGGGCCGAACAATACGTAGACAGGAAGGTTCCAACTTCCCCACCCTCGTCCTCGACCATCGTGGGCAACGCTGAGCCATGAGAGGAAGACGGTGGCAGACCAGCTCGTCTCTCAGCGGGCATCTGGAGGGCGCGCGAGGGTGGCGGCGAGGAGTGCAAGTCATGCCTCGTGGTCGACGACGAGCTCAACATACTGCCCCTCTCAGCGCACGCCAAGGACGTTCAGCCCCATCCCGACGTCGTCATCGTCGTCGTCGTCCTTGATGATGATGATGATGATGATGATGATGATGATGATGATGATGATGATGATGATGATTATTATTGATGATGATGATGATGATGATGATGATGATGATGATGATGATGATGAGGAGGAGGAGGAGGAGGATGATGATGATGATGATGATGATGATGCTGATGATGTTGATGCTGATGCTGATGCTGATGCTGATGATGATGCTGATTAAGATGCTGATGCTGATGCTGATGATTATGATGATGCTGATGACGATGGTGATGGGGATGGTATTGTTGATGATGCTGATAGTGATGGTCATGGTCATGATAATGATGATGATGATGATCATGATGCATGATGATCATAGTGATGCTGCTGATGATGGTGGTGGTGGTGTTGATGGTGATGGTGATGGAAAGGGTGATGGTGATGGTGATTGTGATGGTGATGGTGATGGTGAGGAGGAGGAGGAGGAGGAGGAGGAGGAGGGAGAGAAGGAGAGGGAAGATACGCATGATATTTGGGACGGGTATGAGACGGATGAGGAGGGGGTCTTGTGTTCCCCAGGGTGCCTGCAGGTCTTCGGAGATCTCTAGAGGCCGTCTCTGGGAGGGCGAGGTTTCTGAAGGCCTCCCAGATGTTCAAATTCGAGACATCTGATATGCTGTTCGCGTAGGAGGAAGACGAGGTGGAAACATTGATGGAGAAGGAGGAAAATGATGACTAGGGGGGAGGAAGAGGAGCAATGGGAGGAGGAGGAGGAGTAGCACGAGGGAGAGGATGATGACGAGAAGGAGAGGGATAAACTGAAATGAGAAGGGGGAGTTGGGGGAGGAGGGAGAAGGAGGGAAGGGAAGAACAAGGATGCTTCGTATCATCGACAACTTCCTTGCCAAACTTCCGAATATCTCGCCAAGCAGTCATGCAAGTGTCGGGCCCACGAGGCCCACGCAGATAGAACTCTGTCAACTGACAACGGTGAACCTGTGTTTGCTGGATGTGCTCGCTAAACTGGAAGATGCACCCGATCTGGGACCAAAACCTTGGAGCAGAGTCCAGCCTTCAAGAACTGCACGACTAAGTAGTTCCACTCTCGCTTTCGTAGCTGGCATCCTGCTCCAGCAGGTGCACAAGGCTTCGGAGATCCAGGTCGCTGCTATGCTCCAGGTTCCGATGGAACTTGCCCTGCAAAGGCAAAGCCGGCCATCACCACGCTCGACGATAACCTGCTGACACGAGAGTCAATTGCCGAACGCGCTCCGCATATCCCCACCAGCCCTTCCAAGAGCAAACAGGCAACGTGCCCTGATCAAGGATGTGTAGCAGCATGCAGTGAAGCTCTGTGAGCTTCTTGGAGGCAACTTGGGGCCATCGTGGGGCCGTATTGAGGCCCTCTTGGGCCACATTGGAGGCTGGTGGGCTGTCTCGTGGGGCCCTCGTGGGGCCCTCTTGGGCTCTTCTGGGACCCTCTTGGGGGCTTCCGACTTCGCGGGGCCTCTTGTGGCCATTTTGGGGACACTCGATCAAAGAAAAGGGGTCTTCATTGCGCCCTCCCCCCCGCTCGAGGGCCGACACACAGCATCTTGGTGCCCTCTTGGGGCGATACTGGGCGCGCACAGGGCCGTCGTTGGCCCATCTGGGGCCCCGGCTTGCGGCTCTCTTGGGCCATCTCGACGCCATCTTGAGGCGTCGGGGGCCAATCGGAAGCGAAAAGGCGCGAATACAAACAAATTGCCGCGGATTTGGCATGACGGAGGTGTCCTTGGGAGGCTCCGTGGTCTCTTGGGGCCGTCATGGGACGGCAATGGCGCCTCTTGGAGGCACGTTGGACTCTAGAGTGAGCCATCTTGGGATGCTTGTGCGGTCTTGGAGGCCATCTTTAGCTTTCTTGGGCCATATTGTACCATCTTGGACGACCCAACCCCTTGCGAAACGCCCTGTCCAGACCCAGGGAGAGGGGGCCAGTGGGAGAAGTAGACCTCGCCCCGAAGGGAAAGAGGAGGTTAGAATATCTAACGCCCTAACCACCCTCGCCCAAAGGGCTGTTGGGATTAGAGGGAAATCTGGACATTGACATCATATAAGTCGCACGTATTAGCGCGATCAGCAAGCTCAGCACTATCTCCCAGCACTTCTGGGTCAGGACTCATCATTGCACCCGTCACGGCCGCGTTCGTGCCGACCGCCTTGTGTAAGAATAGAGTCGGGTTCAACACGCGCCTCTGCTGCTGCACCGTTCCAGGGCAGGCGTGGCCCCACAAGATGCGGGATGCTGGCTCTCGTGCGCCTCGTGGGAGGCATCGTAGACCATTGGTCGCGCCTCGCTCACGGCCAAGTCTTGCTGCTCGAGGCCGTACTCACCCGGTCTTTGGGCTCCAGGCGCCCGCCAGTGGCTTCTCCCGCCGCCTCGGTGGTGCTGCAGGCGCCTGCTTCGGCGGCGACGGCATCGACGGCAGGGAAGCGGGCCCTGCCCGCCTCGCCCCGCTCTTCTGGCACCTCTTCGGCGGTGATGGCGGCCGAGTGGGAGGAGTGCCCTGCCGGTGGTGGTGGCCGTGACGCTTCAGAGCCTTGCTAGGCACACCTCCGATCGCTGCTCGGAGTCTCGCCCTTCTTCCTGGTATAATCACTGTACTTGTCGTTGCTTCTTCTGCTGCTGTCGTGTAGCTGTTGCCTCTTCTGCTCCTTGTCGTCCTTGACCTCCTTGTACGAGCCCGAGCAGTCCGACTCGCTCAACGTGATCGGCTGGCATTGCTGGGACGGGTGCAGGCTGGACCAAGTTCGCGGCTCCACAGGGAGATGGCCAGCGTCCGCCGACATGTTGCACGCCATTGGATCTCCGCACCATGTGCGTCATGTGGTTGCCCAGATCCCCTGGCGAAGGCGGTAGTGGAAGCCTTGGATGCACGACCACGGAGCTCGAACTCAATCCCGCTTGGGATGAGCATGCGGAGCCCCATGCCTCTCCCAGTGTCCGCCCTGATGCCACTCGAGGAGCCTCCCCAAGCTTGTGGAGGGTGGAACCCATGAAGGGCTTCGCGCCGACGAGCAGAGCCTGCACGGGGGAAAGGAAGTGGTCCCACAGGCCTGGCTAGGGAGTCCCCACCGACGAACGCCCCTGGCACAAGACCAAGCCTAGATCGCCTCGAACCTTCTTGGTCTCGTTTGGGTTCCCCTGCTCATTAAGACCTTGTCCTCCAACACGCTCAAACTCGAAACCAGTCGCGCAAGGTTCGAGGAAGCGCAAACCTGAATTGGAGCGCGTAAATTCGCAGTGGGCCCCGTTTCCAAACCAAATCGGTTCGTTCCTTTGCTGAATCAGGCGGCATTGGCGCCCTGTTTCGGGGGCCCACGTGCCCCGATCCGTGGATCTGGCGCCCCCGATGCTTGGACCTGGCGCCCTCGCGCCTGGGGCCCGTGTTTTGTATCCGTTGGTGTCGACGGCCGCTACCAGGGAAGGGGGAGGGGGGCAGGGCGACGGAGCTGTTCACGCGTCACGGTTCGCGCCGGCGCCGTCTGGGAGTTGGCTACCTCTAGCAATTCCCAAACGGCGCCGGCGCGAACCATGACGTTGTCAACTCTGTGGGGTGGGGGGGGAGCATCCCCGGTAACGGCCATTACCGCGAAACGTAAAGAGACGGTCTCCAGATTCACAGGTCCCTGATCCATGTTAGCGTGGGCCAGGAAGTTGAGCACAGTTCAGTGCTGAGGCGGCGTGAGCCCCAGCCCCGCGGCAGACGGCCGCAAGCGTTTGACGAAGAAGGAGCAGGAAGGCAGGGAGGAGGAAGAGGGAGGAGGAGGAGGCAAGAGGAAGGAGGGAGGGCGGGGAGGAGGAGGCGGCAGAAGACCCGGTGGAGGAGGGGAAGGAGAAGCGGACCGGGAGGACGAGAAGGACGACGATGACGGTTTGGAGGAGGAGGAGGGCGGACATTCGCTTTTGGCAGAGATTGCAGCGCTGGCAGCATGACCGACTCGTGCGTGGACGTTGGGTCGTAGGCCGCACGTTGAGTCAGGGCTCTGGGCTGGTCTGGCAAGACTGTAGGCAGGCAAGCGATCAAGGCATCGCCTTTCAATGTGCGCATGTACCTCGCAAGCGAGCCAGGTTTGCCCAGCGACGGTAGCCCACGGACACTGCTGTGCTGGCACGGGGACCTTTTTGCCGTGGTCCCTGCGGGGAAGCCCAAGCAGGGGCGCGCCATCCGAGCCCAAAAAGGCACGAGCGAGAGGCCGAGGGGAGAAGGATCCGAGGCGGGAAGTTATACCTGACCACCGCGTGGAGGATCAGTTTTGCGAGACCTCGGCAGGCGGTGGATATGGATGTATTCTGGCCCCCCGGGGGCCCACATATATCCATATCCACCGCCCGCTGGGGCACCAGGATGTCGGTTCCCAGGCGGTGGATCTGGACAAATCCCTACCTCGCAAAGGAGGCGCATGTGATCCCGCCCAGGACCTGAAGCCGCTGGCCGAGGAGCAGGACGGGGGCGTCGAGGACGCGCCGAAGACGGCGCGGCAGCAGGAGCTCGAGGAGCTGCAGGCCACGACGGCCGACACGCAGCCCATAGGCCGGCGCGCCACCCCGCCCAGCGCCCCCCGTCTGCTGCGTGCGCCTGTAACGAGGCCCCCCCTCGTGTCGGATAGCAAGAGACACTTGCATTTCGTGCGTCGAAATCTCGAACTTCTTCCTACTCCTGCTCCTCCTCCTCCTCCTCCTCCTCCTCCTCCTCCTCCTCTTCCGCCCTCCTCCTCCTCCGCCCTCCTCCT